CTCTCCGTTCCTGGGGTGCTTGTTGGGGCAGGGGATTGTGGGGTTACCGTGATCTGTCTCCCCGCGCACCTGGGGCTGGAGCGACCCCAGGCCAAAGGGGAGGAAGTGTGGGACACCCTCTCTCCCATACAGGTGGTCCCACCACATGCTGCTCTGCGCCCCTTCCAGGGGCCTCGTAGTTCCCCTACTTGCTCTGCCCGAGCCTCACGCCGTGCAGGGGCACTCTCCGGCTGGCTGTGTGTGTGTGTGTGGCCAAGGAAGGTGGCACAGAGCTCCCCTGGGGTGATGGCTGCAGCTCTGTGAACAAAAGCTTCAGAGAGGTAGCAGAGTTAGTCTGTAACAGGAAAAACTTAAACAACAAATAAACCAGTAGCACCTTAAAGACTAACAGAACATGTCGATGGTATCATGAGCTTTCGTGGGTGCAATGCACTGCAGTGGAGAAGATTTTGTCTGTATGGCTCAGTGGTAGGCCTTGATGAGGATCTTGTTTCTGGTGCAGTAACTGAAGAGCTACTGTGGGACCAAATCCCTCTCCAGACGGAGTTGCTCAGTATAAAGAATATCAGAAATCAGACTGATACTATGTTTGTGGTGTGTGGGTTTTTTTTTGTTTTTTGTTTTGTTTTAATCTGTCAGGAGATGAGGGATCCGTGAGAATAAAGCTTTTTTTCCCCCATACACCCTATTTTCCAGTCTTGGCTTTTGGAAGGGATAATTTTTATGATCGGTCTTAAAATATCTTAACCTAGTGAGAGAGTATTTTCCTCTGTGTGTTTCAAAGGCATTCAAAAGTTCCCTCCTTTAAATTGACATGCAGCTTGTGAAGAGCAGCCTCTAAACTCCCCGGCTACGTCTATATTGGCAGCATTTTCGGAAAAGCGTCCGTGGCCAATCTAGACGCGCTTTTCCGCAAAAAAAACCCGATCGCCATTTTCACAATCGGGGCTTTTTTGCGGAAAACAGAACTATGCTGTCTACACTGGCCCTTTCGGGCAAAAGTCTTTCGGAAAAAGACTTTTGCCCGAACGGGAGCAGCATAGTTTTTCCGGAAAAGCACTGATGATTTTACATTAGATCGTCAGTGCTTTTCCGGAAATTCAAGCGGCCAGTGTAGACAACTGGCAAGTTTTTCCAGAAAATCATCTGATTTTCCGGAAAGAACCTTGCCACTTGTAGACACAGCCCCCTAGTACTTAGATTAGGCTACCTATGACTCCTATGTCTCCTACCTATGACTCCTATGTCAGGGAGGTGTTTTGCATGCTTCCCTCCCTCCACCCCCCCAAAAAAATCAACACTACCCTTCTCTGCCCGCTATAGAAATTTTGTCTTAATCTTGATGCCAAAATAGCTTTTATTATCTGGTTTTCAGGGAAGTGATGACTTGGCTTTTGAGTGGTGACCTGGTAGGTGGCTGTTTGCTTTCCTGCTGCAACTCTGTAGCTGCTTTTGACTGATTTATCACTGCTTAATATGAGATGGTATGTGGATCAGTAGAGCCCTGTATGGACACTAAATTTGTATGTGAAAAAATGAGCCATAGATATCTGCATTGACATCTGTGGCTGCAGCTACCCGTGGATATCAAGCAGATACCTGAAAATTTTCAGGGTTCTTGATAAAAAATTTGTACCAACAAATGCATCCATATCCACAATGAACTGTGGATATCCACATCCACAGATGTGGATACTCAAAGATATAAAGCAGATATTTGCAGGATTGTGTGGATCAGAATCTTTTTCTATCTATCAAAGGAAACTCCGGCCAAGTGATACAATGTAGGTTGGGTTGATGCATCAAAGGAATATGATTCTGCATTTATTACAACTGACAATAAAAAATCTGTGCACTAATCTGGAAAGCTGCCACCTCCATTCAAATGTTCTCCTTTCAAATACTTCATAAAGATCTTCTAAATGTCATCTGCAAGCTGTGTAGGTAGAGGGGCATGTAGAATAATATCAAGGCATGGTTAATTTCATTGTCTTGATCACTTGCCTTGTGTGTTACATTTTCTGCTCCCTCTGCCTTTCTCTCCCCCATTCCCTTTTCTGGAGCTGAGAATATGCTGAGAATGTGAGTTTATACAGTGCCTCATAGGCTGCAGTCACCCCCAGAGGGGAAAAAGGCATGTGAAATGAAATCCAACTGCAAGACGCAGCAGCTCAACTAAATTTGCTGGAATAAATATAGAGTTTTATATAAGTAACTCCTACAATTCTAGATTAAATTTAAAATTCCTTCTTAAATTTACAGAGTATCTGTTAGGCTCAATAGTATTGCATCATGACTGTTCTCTAGTGTTTATACCTATAGAGCAGTGGTCTCCAACCAGTCAATCGGGATCTATCGGATCTTGGATTCTTTGACAGGTGATCCTGACTGGTTTGGTCAGGAGGCTGTCAACTGCCTGCACTTCACCTGCCCCTCTCAGCACTGTGGTGCTGCTCCTGCCCTCTGCCTTTGAGCTGCCCTCTCCCCCCTCTCTGGGAGTCTACTGCTTGCTGTGCAGGGGACACTTAGAAGAGGAGGGGTTGCTGATGTCAGGGTGCCTCTCCCTCCACCCTAAACCCCTTTTCACAGAGCAGAGGTGGGGCAGGGATGGAGGGAGTTTGCTGGCAGCTTTTGGGAGTGGTGCAGGGCCAGGGTAGGGATAAGCTTGCCTTAATCCCCTGCACCTCCACCCAGTAGCCACCTGTGGTAAGTGGTGCCCAGCTGGAGCCTGCATTCCAAACCCTGGCCCCAGTCCTGACCCCCCTCCTGCACCCCAAACCACAGCCCTAGCCCTGAGTCTCCCTGCACCCAAACTTCCTCCCAGAGCCTGCACTCCTCCTGCACCTCAACTCCCTGCCCCATGCTCCGCTCAGAGCCCCTGCCACACTCCAAATCCTTTAGCTTAAACTCAGAGTCCTCATCCCCCTCCCCCGCACCCTAGCGTCTGCCCCCAGCCTGATAAAAGTGAGTGGGGATGGGGGAGGGAGGGTGGATGGAGTGAGGTGGGGGTGAAATGTGGGGCAAGAGAGTTTGAGTCTGAGGTAGATCCTAGATTGTACTTAAATTCAAAAGTGTTCTCATGCTTAAAATGGTTGTAGACCACTGCTATAGACTAAGAAAGAATAGTCCACAAATAGAACACTACTATACATTTTGGGTTAAAAGTGATTTTTATTTTTGTTGTCTCTATAAAAGAAAGTAGAATTAATAAAGTTAACCACAGATTAAACTCAGTATGACAGTAAGGATTAGTATCCTAGGCTATGATATGGTGAACACTAACGGCTGTGAGTGTGTGAAGTCATTGGCGCACTAATCATGAATAAGACACTTACCACTAAGAGCATGTCTACATAGAAGCTGAGATAATGATTCTTAGCCCTAGCAGACATACATACACTAGGAGTTTTTGAGCTGGTGTGCTAAAAATTGCAGTGGTGGTGTGGTAGCTCAGCTGCCTGAGGTCAAGTGGGATTGTGCTCAGGTAATTAGCCTGAACTTGGCCATGCTGTTTCTTTTTGTATGCTAGCTTGAGCAGAACTAGTGTGCATATATCTCTGCCCAACTGGGAATGACCCTCCCAGCTGCGGTAGAGACCTATACTTTAATGTAAAAAAAGGCTTTTTGAAATGTCCGATATTCCTTCCACTATCATGTAGATCAATGGTCTGCGCTGCGGTGCCCTCCAGACCATTTCTGTGTGCCCACCAAGTGATCGGGGCTAGCCCCGCCCCCAGGCACGTGGTGCATGGGCGGCACCGGCCTCTGGGTGCGCAGCACATGGGCTGTGACGGCCCCGGGCGCGTGGCGTATGAGTGTCCCCGCCCCTGGGCACATGGCACAGGAGCGGAGCCGGCCCCAGGAGTGCGGCGCATGGGCAGCCCCAGCCCCTGGGCGCATAGTGTATGGATGGCCCCACCCCCGGGTGCCCGGCGCATGGGCGGCCGCAGCCCCAGCCCCTGGACGCCCGGCAGTCCCAAAAGGTTGGGAACCACTGATGTAGATTATACCTTAATTTATTGTTTATATGGATTTGAAGGTACGTAATTATCTTTTAGCATTTGAACAAGAGACATAAAAAGGCATGTAATTTACTGTTCCTTGTCTGTCATATTAGCACTAAAAGGAAATCATTGTTAATATTTAGAGGTGGATGATGCTGGCCCATCATTCTTAACTAAAGTGCAAACTTGTCGCTCTCTTTTATAGGAATAATCTATGATGTGATTGTAGAACCTCCCAGTGTTGGGTCTATGACAGATGAACATGGACATCAGAGACCAGTGGCCTTCTTGGCATACAGGTAGAAATTATCCTTTGTCATAATCGAATGGTCTCTCCCTGACCTGCACACAGATAAATGCAAGTGACCCACAATGCATGTGAAAAGCTACATTGATTTCAGCTATACTCTCTGACGGTCCTAGGATCTGCAAATGTGCATCTTGATTGCACTATTGGGGCCTATTGTTTAAATAGCCACAGTATATTTTATGTATCTGTTTGGAAGGATTTAACTTTTATTGTTTGAAATCTTGATCTTTATGTATTTTTCTCAGTTTACATTTTTGCATTACAAGAAATGAAATTTCAAGTAGATGATACTAATGAATTTTTATGAGTAGAGGTCAAGATTAATAACAGAATCAGAAGCTGTAATTGATCATACTTCATAACTATATCTTTTTAATTACTTGTTAGAGTTTACTGTATACACCAACATAAGAATGGCCATACTAGTCCATATAGGCAGCAGTGCAGGGGCAGGTGGCACCACAGAGCTGGTGCTGGGGGGGAACTGGCTTGAAAGCCAGCTTCCCAAGCATCTCAGCTCCAGCCTACCCTCCTCACTCTTCGCGCTGCTGCTTCTCTATCAGAGGTAGCAATGCAGGAGTATGGAGGGGTAAGCAGATCCGGTGCTAGTGGGAAGCCTGCTTAGTGCCCGTGAGGAGCTGGCTTTGGCTCCCATGCCCTCCCTCAGAGGCAGGAAGGAGGGAGGAGGAAATGTGTTGTCGACAAGATTAACTGATAAACCTAGGTTTATTGGTTAATCCTGTAGTCGACTACATGTTGACATTCCTATAAGTTACTTTGCTTAAGTGACTGGGGTCACCCATATGGAGTAACTTGCAGTTTAAGTCACATTTTGTTCAGTTTTAAACATAATTCTATAGAATGTATCCTTCAAAATGAGTTCAGCAGATGCTTCTTGCTTAGAATCTAAATTATACTAGAGGTGAAGCTAATTTAGTCAGAAGTTAGTTGAGAAGATTAAGGAATAAGTTTACAGAGCTTTGGGATTTGACTGTCTGGACTGGTTATCTTTAATTCTAGTGGAGAGTGATGGGTTGTTTTTGTTTGTAAAAAGAGCTGACACTATACAAAAAAGAATAATAAAATATAGAGTGGTTCTCATTGTTGATCTTGACTCCGAATTTTTTGTGTATAGTTTGTGCTAGAATTAATGCCTTGCGATATGTCTCACATTTTTTGGGGCCACTGCAATATACAGGAATCACATTGCTTCATAGTGGGCAGCACTTGAGTAACAGTAATGGTGAAGAACAGTGTAAAAGATTAGACAGCTATTTATGAAGATTAGACATTAATATGACACGCTTACCATCCTTGTACATCCTTCCAGCAAAGTGCTTTACAAAGATGGTGGTGTATACCTGTATTACAAATTGGAAAACAGACACCGATGTGTTAAGGGACTTATCCAACAATATGCTGCCACAGAACTGTGAATCCAGACCAATGCAGGAGTTCTCAACCTTTTTCTTTCTGAGCCCTTCCAGCATACTATATAACTCAATGGTCCATCTGTACCACAACAACCTGTTTTTCTGCATATAAAAGCCAGGACCAGCCTAGGAGGTAGCAGGATAGGACAGTTGCCCAGGGCCCCACGCCATAGGGGGTCTTGTGAAGCTACGTTGCTTTGGCTTCAGCCCTGGATGGGGAGTCTTGAATACCTGAGCTTCAGCCCCTTTTGCTCGGGCTTTTTGCCCTGGGCTACAGCAAATGTAATGCTGGTGCTGCTTGGTGGACCTCCTAAAACTTGCTCGTAGCCCCAGTCCCCAGGTTGAGTACCACTGGTCTAATACACCTTATTCTTAATGCTGTGCTAGAACAAAGGGATAAACTTCCTCCCTTGATGTGGCCTTGAATAACACCTCACTTCTTGCAGTTACTGGAATTCAGGGTTTGTCTTCTGAGCACTGTTGGGAATCAAACTTGAAAATTCAACAGTCTAGAAATTGTAGGTCTCTACCAATGTTTGCTCTAATCTTTTCCCATCCACGTGTGGATTTTTTTCCATCCATGTGCGGAATATATTTTGTCGTGGGCACCACCAGGAAAAGCACAAACCTAGTTGTGGGTGCTCTGCTAATTCTCTGGGCAGCACTGGAATCTCTTCTGAGTGGCTTCACAAGTGCACATCTTACAGGGAACAGTGGTCCCTATTTAAATTCATTGAACTTATTTTTTGCTTTTAACTGAGAAACATTAAAAGTTATCAGTCCCAGATCTAAAATTCTAAATAAAAGTAATGTATGAGGTGGTTTTACATACAGTAACATTACCCTTTTATGAATATTCATGATTAGATTTTACTAGAAGTGAAACTAATTTACTGGATGCATTAGTAGGTTTCTGTTAATTTGCAGAGAATTGATCCAGGAGCTAAATTTTACATTGTCTTTTATATAAAAAAGTTTTTCCTGCTGGACGACAGAACATTCCGGCTGGGCGACAGAATGACATCATCAGCATCAACAGGCTTTCTCAGCAAGACAAAAGTGGCCAGAGAGCGGGGGTTGGCGAGCATAGCAAGCAGAGTGCACAACCCCCTCATAATCTTATTGTGATTGACTTCCTAGTAATAGACAGTGGATTATAACACATGTTGATGAAGCTAAGTGTGTATATATCAAAATGAACTGTCCTGGATTTTTGTAAAACTAAAGCACATCTGAATATTACACTAAATAGCTGGATCTTGAAATGGGAAAGAATACCTTGTGGACTGCTGGTTTACTGTAACACTTTTACTCCTGTTTTGTTTTTTGTTTTCCCCAGAGTAAATGGACAGTATATTATGGAAGGACTTGCATCCAGCTTCCTTTTCACAATGGGAGGTTTAGGCTTCATAATTCTGGACCGATCCAATGCACCAAATATCCCAAAGCTCAATAGATTTCTATTGCTTTTTATTGGATTTGTCAGTGTCCTTTTGAGCTTCTTCATGGCAAGAGTTTTCATGCGGATGAAATTGCCGTAAGTTTAGTACATTTCATGCTGTTTTCCTCTCCCTTTCTGTTGCTGATAAGCAGGGATCCTAGTTTTCTGTGATAAAACACATTTTTATATTTTTTCCATGATTAAAGTGGAATGCTGAACTTCAGTTTCCCTAGCCATTATATATAGGTATCAGCTTCACACAATGTTTTATTGATATATTTACAGTTTAAGTGAATTTGAAGTCTTCTAGTGCCATCAAACATTATAATAAAATAAAATTTATTAGAACTGCAATTTGTATTTCTTATATATACCAGATACAAATGTCTGCAGTCTGTATTTTTTTAATGATTTTTACGCACAAAAACTAAAATTTATTTTATATTAACACTGCTCACTTTTTGAGAGTCCTGAGGCTGAAGTGACATCTGAGAAGAAGTTTATTGGAGTGTGTTTAGCTATATGCTTATATTTAGGTTTTCTGCATTATCCGAACCACCAGTGTCCCAGAACTGACTGCAGTAAGGGCTATGGTGGTCAGCGCATTTAAAAAAGTCAACCCATTGTCTAGGTGGAACTGGTACTTTCATTGCTAAAATTTAGTTAACGTTTACATTTTTCACAAAATGTAAAAACTAAAGATTCTGTGTAAAAATGAAAATTCCACATTTTTCTGTGGCAAACAACCTTCTAGAATCCAAACTGATAAGATTGCAAAGCACTTCATGTAAAGCAAGGATAAATTCTATTTTTTAAAAAAGGGTGTAGATTTAAACATTCACAGTTTAACCTTTAAGATGTTTTAGTAAAATGTGGAGCATGTCCCCTTTTTAGTGACGTGTGATGTGCTTAAGTTTGCCCATTCTGAGACATCATGTTGTGGTTCAGGGAAGGTGACAAGCTCCCTAATGTGTCCGAAACCATAGCTAAAATACAGTTTGATCCTAGACTGAATGGTTTGGATTTTGAGGAAAGATTAAAAGACTTTAGTCTGTACAGGTTGGCTAAAAGCCAGCACAGGCTTTGGAAAGAAGCATAAACAGCTATGCATTGGGAAGATGGGAGATGGGCTAAGGCTATAACAAGGTGAAAATTAAGAAGGAAAACTATTCTACAGCTTGTGGAAAATTTCTCAGTCTAAGGAAGGTAGAGTAGCCTTTGTTCTTCCATGTACTGACAGGGCTTTCCAGCTTCTTGATTGTATTTTCCAGTTTATTCAGTAGCTTGTAATGAATTTATTTTATTTTTGCTGCTTGCCTTCTCTTTCCCCTTCTTAATCCCACTGTGACCTCTAGGGTAGCCAGGAGCAGCAGTTTCTTCGAGGGTCACTGCTAAAACCACTCAGTGAATTAACTGGCAGGGGATGTGTTTTGCTTGTTTTTGTTTTTTAAACATTGATATGGTCATTCTCCATTGCTTGGAGATTCAGTACATTTCCTCTGTGATATAATGAGGCAGTACTGACCTGTAAAGTGCAGGTGTTGGGTTTCCTGGCAATATGTAGCAATGCAGAATCAAGCATCAGCATACAATAGATTTATCTTTTTAATCAAATATGGCTGGCCTCAAGAGTTCCTGGTCATGTTTGAGGAACTCTAAAGAACTAGGAAGGATATATTATAAGACTCTTTTGTGGTTTACAGATGCTCTAAAACAGTGGTTCCCAAACTTTTTGGCATCACCGCCCCCTTTTTTATTTTTGAGAAACCCTCATGCCATGCTGCTCCCCTTTCCTCCCTCCCCCTCCTCCCCATAGCAGGAAAATTTGTTGAGCAAAAACAAACAAAAAAGGGAATTGACCGAGGCCGAAAAACAAAAAACAGCAGCAAAACTTGGGATCGCGCCCCACTGGAATTTCTTCATGCCCCCCAATTTGGGAACCCATGCTCTAAAATAACAAGGTTTTACATTTACATTTTCTAACAGGCTTTTGTTCATTGATTATTTAATATTCATGTATATCTTGCTTCGGGGAAAGTTTGTCACACATGAATGCCAAAGAACTTACTAAATCTTCATTAATGAAAATAAAAGTCTTAAAGATATGGACTACAAAACTGAGATTTACTTTTGTTGAAAGGCAAGCACTTCCTAAGTTATTCAAGGCATAGAAAACCTTTGTATTCTGGTCACATTCAGTATGTTTTTTTGTTAATATGGACATTATTCTTGTTTTGCATTTTGAGAACCACAGGTTGAAAATTTAAAATTTAATATGCATTAAATTGCGATGCCTGTTGTAGTTACAGTAAAACTCCATTGGTCCGGCACCATCAGGAACCCAGAAGTGTTCCAGGCAGCCGGACCATTGGAGCTGCTCTGCCCCCCGCCTTTCCCCATCCCCGCCGCGTCGGAA